ACGAGTTATAGTAGTAGTAGTAGTAGTAGTAGTAGTAGTAGTAGGAGTAGTAGTAGTAGTAGTCGTCGTCGTGGTGCTGGTGGTGGTGGTGGTGGTGGTAGTGGTAGTAGTAGTAGTCGTCGTCGTCGTCGTCGTAGCCGTAGTAGTGGTAGCATCACCATTCTTCTTCATGTTAGTCGTGAAAACGCAGAGTTTCAGTATCTATGTATACGTATATACACACATTTACGGCATGTGGTGCTCAAGGAAGGCGGCCACCAGCAAGCAAAGACGACCCTAAGAGCACCATCACCAATAGAAAAGTATGAAAGAAGGGCAGGAAGAGACGGCAATGGCAGCATTGCGAAAGTAGAAAAACCCTAAACCCTAAACCCTAAACCGTAAACCCTAAACCGTAAACCCTAAACCCTAAACCCTAAAACCCTAAACCCTAAACCCTAGACACGCGAATTACAGACCTGCCTTAGTGCCAATGCTGAGACCCCCTGGGGCCCCTGTAAAGCCGAAGCCCTCATCTCTAAACCTTATACAACTTGTTTAGGGTTTAGGGTTTCCTAGAGTTTAGGGCTTAGGGTCTAGGGTTTAGAGTTTAGGGTTTAGAGTTTAGGGTTTAGGGTTCTAAACCCTCTCAAGCCAAAAATCGAAACGAGTGCCCATCTGATAAAACAGTGCCTTACTGGACTTCTCTCAACCCTACCACGGCCAAGGCCGCATATGTTATGGAGCGTCAGCAGGTAGAGTAGGGCCCTTTAGTTTTGTTAGCGTTATATTTATGGGGGGGTTTCGTGGAAATTAGGACCAGTGAGGAAACGGTTTTGGGGTACAGTATGCTGTATAGCTATAAGCATCATGGAATATGATCCCCCGCCCTAATGTAGGGGCCTTAATACTTAGAAAACGGTTTGGGGTATATTATACTATGATGAAAAAAGGAACGCCCAAAATTGTATAGGTAATTGTAAAGCCCCCTATATTAAACTCAACAACCTCCGCCCAAGCTTTCTGACATAGCACTGCAGTCTCCAGATTCGACTTGCCGAAAGAAGCTAGAGCTCCAAAGCATGCACAAAAGTAGCAGGATCCATGAATAAGAAAGCTACCGTTCAGGGCTTAATGTAGGGGCCTTAAGAATTAGAATAGGGTTTTGGGGTCCTTCATAATATAATCATAATAAGGAACCCCCCCAAAATAGTATAGGTAATTATTTGGGCCCCTATATTAGGGTTACCAGGTCCCGAATCTTCGAAAGCGACCGGATGTCTTGGATTTACGCAGCTTTCCTCGTCAGGGAGGCTCGCAGCCCACAAGGCCACGCAAGGCTTCCCTTACCGAAAAAACATGTTATTCAACTGGTCTTGCACAGTTTGTGCTACAGGTAGAAACGGTGAAACACAACACGCAGTGCGGGGGGGGGCCATTGCAGAGCAGGGCAGACCGGACTGTTTACAGAAACACCCTAGACCCTAAACCCTAAACCCTAAAGGCCCTAAACCCTAAACACCCTAGACCCTAAACCCTAAACCCAACGGTGTTTCGTGAAGGGCTCTGCTGCAGCTCCCCCCTGCGAAAGTACCTGCAAACCAGTGGCTTCCCCCTAAACCATATACTCTATCCCCCTAAACTCTAACCTCTAAACGGTTTAGGGTTTAGGGTTTACCTCTAAACCCTAAACCCTAAACCGTCTGCTGAAAGCCGCGGAAGGCAGAATCCAGCACACTGCTCGCAATGGAGCAGACGAGTGGAGACTCAAGCTGGTTCACACATGGGTGTTTCCGAAAATAGGGGACCCTAATATAGTACCCTAAATAGTAGGACCCTTATTATAAGGACCCCTAAATAAGGTACCCCAAATCTTCAGAAACTCCCACATGGCTCCGAACGGACACCACGCCCCTCTAGACCCGGTTCTCGGGTCGAGGGCCTAGGGCTTAAATGGGAACACAAGCTTACCTACTACTGAAAGTACCATATCTTGCGTAACACTACATATCAACACATCAAGACGATTCTGCATAAAGCTCGTATACTCTGCTTATCAGTGTACCATAGACATATGTCTACAAAACTTGCTCCAGCAGTCCTAGGGAAGCTTCCAGGTACCCTAAACCTTAAACCCTAAACCCTAAACCTAAACCCTAAACCCTAAACCTTAAGCCCTAAACCCTAAACCCTAAACCCTAAACCTTAAACCTAAACCCTAATCCCAGGAAACTTCCCGGACTCGTCCGACAGAGCTGAACACCGTTGCTATGGAAGCCGACGCTTTTTGAAGCGTAGGGTTCGGATGAGAGTTCAGGGTTCAAGGGCCGCGAAATAGGATGTAGGGTCTAGGGTTTAGGGTTTAGGGTTTAGGACCTTTTAAGATAAGATCCTCGCTATGAAGAAGTATAGGACACCTAGTTTTACAACCCCCGAAACCAGATTTCACTTGGAGACTCATGAGAAGCCGGAATGCCGAATTTGCCCGTCTGCCGCCTCTGCCAGATGTCCCTGTCTTCTGTTGATATCTACGTCTTCGTACATACACGTACTTGCACGGTTGTACTCACGGCACTTGACCGATGATAGCAGCTGAAAGGCACTTCATGGTGGAACTCAGCTGTGTGGCAGAGATACGGCCGGGGGGCTTGAAAGGCTCATATCGTAGCTTTCTTATTGATTGGCGCTTTGTCGGATAGCTCTCAACTCCTGCAGCATCACGGCCTTGCTGCGGCCCTGACATTTGTCCGCAGCCATCGCTAGGATGCCGCAGAAGTTCTTGCGCTGAAGTACCTGGCGCTTGAAACTTGATATCCTGAGACTTTAACAGGCAGAGTCTACCGCCCTTAGCCTAAAACCGGAACACCTTGAAGCCACGACCATCTCAAGCTTATTTCAATCACTCGCCCTCTCCCAGGTTATCTAGACCTTTCTCGGCGCCTCCTAGACCCTTCAACAACATCAGATGTGGTTTTGGGCTTAGGGTTTAGGGTTTAGGGTATTGATTCGGGGGTTTAGGGTTTAGGGTTGTTGGCTCAGGGTTTGGGGTTTAGGAGTTACAGGAATGCCCAGTTGAAGATCCGCACCTGACGCAGGTTTTGAAGCTTGCGAGACTTCGTCTGCAAACGACCTGGAAGAAGTCCTGCTTGGACGGAAAGCACCTCGTTTGGGTTGAGGACACGGGATTAGTGGGTGTGGGTTCAATGCTTCGGGTTTCAGATTGCTTCGCATGAAGCACTACCCCTTTCATGACAGCAAGAAGCGCCAAATCGGACAATGATCAGCCGAGCGACTGCCACCACGAAGCTCACATCACGGATTCCGTCCTGTTCGGCACGCTCCCGAAGTAGATCTGCGAGAAGACCGAGTAGCTCTGCTCTTGGCATCGTGCTCATCAGATGGCGCTGCTTCTTGTCGAGTTTCGGGTCGTTGTGCTGATGGTGGCAAGAGCCACATGCTAGACCTTTCTGGCAGTGCCCCTGCCTTGCAATAAAGATGCATGGTCTGTTGCACAAGGACGGGTGTCCCACACTGCCCCTGCTTGGGGCCGTTGGGTCGATCACCATCGCAGGTTGCCCTTGCCGCAGCGTGCGAAGATGACGCTGCGCCCACACGTCCTGCACGAGAACCTCGGGGGTTGCCGACCGCATCGGGGGAAGGCTCCGACCGCGAGCACGATCTGACTCCATCTGGCCATCCGTCACATCAAGGAAGGTAAAGCGGAAGGCAAGTTGAGCTGGCGCCATGGGCGCAGTTAAAATTAGACCGTCTACACCGTATAGGGAGCTCTGAACCATCTTTCACCAAAGCACGGGTCATGTTTCGTACGGTTTTGGGGCCATGCGACCTGAGACCTTTATTGTGAGTGCTCCTCTGCTGGCATCATACCGCTTTTTCACGAGAAGAAAGTGCATAGTCACTAGGTTCATAAGCCCCAAAATGTGTAAACTTTTCAGTGATAGTATTATCCCCAAAAATAATATTGTGCAATCACTCAACTACACTAAGAAGCATGACGGCCTTCGCCTGTGGCGCGGGGAACGAGATCTCGCTGCCGACGGCCGTCCGCTCCGGTGGACCTCGCGTCTTCCTTCCCCCTTAGCACTGACTAGGGTTTACTAAACCCTACATACCTTAAGAACCCCAAACCCACTTTTTTGTAGGTTCTTATTATAAATCCAATATGGGATTTATAGGGACGCTACAAAAAAGTAGGTTTTGGGTTCTTAAAGTAAATCCTGAATCCCTGAACCCCCAAGCCCTAAACCCCTGAGCCCCTAAACCCCTGAACCCTAAACCCTAACCTGTTAGACCCTAAACCCCTAAACCCCTAAATTCTAATCCTACACCCAGCAATCCCCAAGCCCTAAACCCCTCCAACCCTCAAGTTGGGGTTCGGGGTATAAAGGCGTCCTGGACGAGCCAAGGTTTCACCGCCAGAGAGCCCCAGACTCCCCAGACCCTAGGATCGGCCTGGAGGACCCCTACAAACTCACCCGCTTAAAGGAGCTTTTGGCTTAGGGTTTAGGGGTTTAGGGGTTTAGGGGTTTGGGGTTTAGCGGGTTCAGGGCTTAGAAGGTTTAGGGCTCAGAGGGTTTAGGGTTTAGGGGTTTGGGGTTTAGGGGGTTCAGGGCTTAGGGGTTCTAGGGTTTAGGGTTTAGGGTTTAGGGTTTAGGAGGTTTAGGGTTTAGGGGGTTTAGGGTAGGGGGTTTAGGGGAGGACATGGGACTTAGCATCTAGAGTTATAAACAAGGAAACTTTGGACTTCTGCCTGATTACTATATCCAGTCAAGGTACTTATAACCCTTTTTTTATCCCCTGATCCAAGTACTCTAGGGGCCTTAGGAAGTTGAAGGTATCTTACATTTGCACCATACAAGGATACTCTTCTCAACTCCTCAGGCACCGAGATTAGCTGAAACCTAGCACCCTAAATCCTGTATCCAAAACCCTGCTTTACACCCCAACCCTAGACCCTAAACCCTAAACCCCTGAACCCTAGACCCTAAATCCTAAACCCCTAAACCCTAGACCCCAAAGCCTAAACCCTGGACCCTTAACCTTAACCCTAAACCCATAAACCCCTAAACCCCTGAACCCCTAAACCCTAAATCCCTAAACCCCTGAAGCCCTAAACCCCTAAACCCTAAACCCATAAACCCTAAACCCCTAAACCCCTAAACCCTAAACCATAAATCCTGACCCCAAGCCCTCAACACCCGAGAACTCTGAAAGAAACGCCCTGAACCCAACAACCCAAGCTCCATTCCCTAGCTGATCCGTCTAGGGTTTAGGGTTTAGCATTTGGGATTTAGGGTTTAGGGTTTAGGGTTTAGGATTTAGCTCAGGGTTTAGGGTTTGGGGTTTGGGGTTTAGGGTTTAGGGCAGCCACATTGCAGCCCCTAAACTTTCAACCCTGTGATAAAGCTGGCACCAGAGCCTCTACCCTTGGCCCGATTTCCCCTTCGCAGCACCCTTACCACAAGCAAAGCCGCTCCAACGAAAAGCCCCAAAAACGTTCTCAATGCCCCTTTAAACAGCCGAGGAAAACTACGCCCTAAAACCTCTGAACCCGATGAAGCCCGGTTAGATGACTAAACCCCTAGAAAACCCCTTAAACAAAAAGAAAAAAACGCTTTATCAAACCCAAAGCCCTCAAGCAAACCCGTAAACCTCGACCGGTATAATATAGAACCTGTACGAAACCCAAAACCCTTATAGATCATCTAGGAAATCCTGAACCCCTCTGAACAAACGAAGTCACATGCCATAAACCTTATAAACCTAAAAGCCTAAACCCCAAACCCCCAAACCCCTAAACCCCTAAACCCCTAAACCCCTAAACCCCAAAACCCCAAAACCCCCAAACCCCCAAAAACCCCAAACCCCAAAACCCCTGGGTTCAACCCCAACCCAAACCTTCGCCTAAACCCCAAAACCCCCAAAACC